AGTTTTTAAGAAAAACGGGCCCGCAAAATCGATCCCAACCTTTTGAAAAGGTCGACAGGATGTTACTCGGTGGGAGGGTAGATCTCCCATAAACGGTTCAAGAGATCTAGGTCGTGATCTATAACAACGTTGACAACGAAAAATTTGTTGGCGGACAATTCGACGCGCTGATATAATCCAAAAGTATTTTTGTAATAAATTTAGAAGGGAATTTAGAGTAGGATGTAAAAAGACATGATGATAATAGTCAATTATCAATCGTGTCACGTGGTGTGCCTTAGGAAGTAGCAATGGATGCCTTGTGTGGTACGGCAAATTAGAATTGGTAAGCCTTCCACCTACTCTTACGAGACCGATGTTGTCGAAAAATAAATTAAGTCTCATGAGACCACCTTTAATAGATTTGTTTTCCTGTAGCCTTTTAATTGTTCCAGAGAATTCCGAAGACTGAACCAATCGAATGATAGTGTGAGTGCTATCAATCAACTCGGCCACACTAATTGGTCCAGTTCTTCGTTGTGAAGGCTTGCGTAGATTGTGACAGAAACGTTTGCACCAAGCTACTATACATCGTAACTTGGTAAACGAGCTGTACTTGGTGAGAAAAGGAGGCTCCGTAATAGTATGCGTGACATAAGCTGCAGGATAGGAGGACCGTACACCAGGCAAGTCGGCTTCGCTAAGTTCTGATGATTCATTAGGCCATGTTGAATCGTCCATTTCAAGCCATGATGGACACCACCATAAGGGATGATCAACTAATTCAGTAGGAGTAAGGCCTCGACTGGCTGAATCAGCTGGATTCATCATGGACGGTACGTGTTTCCACGTGACATTGGAAAATAAATTTTGGATTTGGGATACACGGTTCCCTTCATAAGTTTGAAGTTTGTGAGGTGAAGTTTTAAGCCACGATAGGACTATGTTCGAATCACACCAAGCAATGACAGTAGTGATTGACATTTTGACATTTAAAATGTCAAACACGTGTTTGGTTAAGCGAATGAGTAAAAGTGCACCGTTTAATTCCAATTTGGGAATAGTTAGTTTTTGTTTGAGTGGTGCTACCCGTGATTTTGCAAGTAATAATTTAACATAATTACCATGAGTATTTTGAATACGCAGATAGATGCAAGCGGCATACCCGCGCTCGGACGCATCACTGAAACCGTGCAATTGACATACAAACGGTTGATCAGTGATAACGTAACGTGATATAGATACTTTATTAAGATGAGGAAAATCTGCTATTAATTCCGACCAAGATTTTTGTATAGCAGGGGGAAGTGGATCGTCCCAACTCTTTTGTGTTGACCACAGCTGTTGCATAAGGTGCTTGGCGTAGAAAGTGACAGGAGCTAAAAATCCACATGGATCGTAAAGTCTCGCGATGTTAGACAAAACGCCACGCATGGTCATGACATTACTCATGTTTGAGACATGATAGAAGAAGCTATCCGTTTTTGCGTTCCATTCGATGCCCAGAATTTTGAAGATGTTGTCACCCTGCTCCTCGAAACGGTATGGTGGCTCGCAATGATCGGAGGTGAAAGATTCCAAGAACTCCGTTGAGTTGCTTGACCACTTGCGCAAATCGAAACCGCCTTGAGAGAGAATGGCAACCAGATTTTGCTGCAATTGCTGAGCAGAATCAAGACAATGAGACCCACTAACTATATCATCTACGAATGTATCTGCTAGCAACACCCTACAAGCCTCAGCATATTGGCTAGTATTTAAATGAGCTAACTCGTGAATGACGCGAATAGCTTGATAAGCAGAGCTCGTGACGCCGTATGTTACGGTAGTTAACTCGTACTGCTTCAAGGGTTCAGCAGGAGAAGCGCGCCAGAAGATAGTTTGGTATCTGCAGTCGTCATCATGCATGCGCACCTGTCGATACATTTGTTTTATGTCGCATGTGAAGACAATTTTGTGGAGTCGAAATCGCAAAATAATATCTTCAATATTTTTTTGAAGTTTGGGACCGGACATAAGTACCTGATTAAGTGAAACACCTGTAGAGCTAGAGGCTGATGCATCATATACAGCACGAAGTTTTGTGGTACTACTGTGTTCGCGTAGCACACCATGATGGGGAATATAATATCGGTCACTTGATACTGGACCTGACACTTGACGCATATGGCCAGCTTCAATGTAATCCCTCATAAAGGCAACATAAAGTTCATGCAACTTCTCATCCTTAAGCATGCGACGCTCCAAATTATGAAATCGCTTTAAGGCGGTGGTGTGTGTTTCACCCAAAGGCTTATGATCCACTTTGAAAGGTAACCGCACAATGAAGCGACCAGTGCTATCCCTTGTGTGAGTGTTAGTGAAGTGTTTTTCACAAATAATGTTTTCAGGATCTTGTATAGGTTGACTGGGAGGTTCCTCAGATTCCCAGAACCTTGAAAGGTTAAAATTAATATCTGTGGTACAGGCCATGGAGACCACACCACAAGTCTGCTGCGATGCTGTGGGAGCCTTGCCCATGATGATCCAACCTAAGATGGATGAATGCGCAGTGGGCATGTCTTCACCCAGGCTACGTTGTTCACCATCAATAATTTTATTAAAACAGTCAACACCTAAAAGAACATCTATTTTTCCCGGCATTGAGAAGTTGTTATCAGCCAAGACTAAGTTTTTACATTTATCTAAAATGCATTTATTTACCATAACTGATGGGAGATTACCTGTTATGCGTTTTAGGATGATACAATTAGTTGATATGGTCTTGGTAGGATCCATAAAAGATTTTATGTTGCAGTGTATCATTCCTCGACTATTCTGAGCTGATGAAGCACCTAAACCAAGAACACTGCTAGACGGTGAACGTGGCAGTCTAAGTTGTTGTGCAAGATTTTCGGTTACAATTGAAACCTGAGAACCATTGTCGATGAGAGCACGAGCTGAATGGTAATATCCATTGACATCTCGTACACTGACAATAGCAGTACCCAAAATCATAGTGGATTTACATTCGACACCATGGATAGATTGAAGTTGAGCTATGGAACCCACTGTCGACACAGCAACTTCATTATCCTTTGGGTAAGGTTTCACTTGATTGGATGAGATGTGTAGCTTTGTATGGTGTCGGCCACGACATACTCTGCATACACTTTGTGAAATGCATTTTGAAATATGATGAGTTCTTAAACAATTAAAGCAGAGTTTATGTTGAAAAACAAAGGATTTTCTTTGTTCCGGAGTCATTGTATCAAATTTAGAACAGTAATATAGACTATGTTTATCCTGACAGCAAGGACAAATAATTGTACTAAGTTTATTTTTATTGTTTGATTCAATGACTGTTAATGTACTACTAGTAGAAGCCCTATGTATAGAAGCACTAACATTTTCTAAAACATGTAATTGATTTTCCAAAAATTTAATTAAATTCTCAAATGTAGGTATAGTTTTAATGTCAACTTGAGATTCAAATTTGCTTCTTAAATCCAGTGACAATTTTCTAAGAATTATATGAAGTAAAAGAAAACTCCATGATTTAGTATTCATGTTTAAGGCATCAAGAGCTTGAGTGCTCTCTTTAATGGTGAATAAGAATTTTGTTAAAGTTTTTAAATTTAATTGTGTTAAATTTGGCAAATTAAGAATTGCTTCTACATGTTTATCAGCGATAACTCTCTTGTTTTCATAGCGTTCTGTTAATAAATTGTAAGCAACTTGATAGTTCTCACTAGATATTACTAAATGCTTTACCAAAGAGAGTGGTTCCTTATCCAAAACACTCAATAAATAGTGTAACTTTTGAACAGAACTTAAACTATCATTATTATGAATTAGACTGTTGAAAATTGAGATGAAGTTTGGCCACTCTATGCTCACACCTGAGTACCTATTTAGAGATATCTTGGGAAGCTGAAAGGCAGGTTCAGATTTAGATGATGAGTGTTGAAAACCACTGGCATTGTCACTCTTTGTTTGTATTGAACTATGCAAAACTTGAACAGAATAAAACATATCCATAAAAGTTGAATATCTGTTTTCCAACTCCTCACGAGATTTGTCACTTACAGACTCAGTACTAGACATAAGAATAGCAAAAGCCTCCTCGAATTGTTGCCTAAACCGTTCAATATCCTTAAATCGAACCATGAAACCAACTTGCTCTTGTGAAGTTAAGTTTGGATTTTGGCTAAGTTTACCTGCAAGTTCATACACATTTCGCATGTTTTTGTAACTCAGATCGCAGTTTGTGGCATACGCTTTGATATTTGCCATTGTATTTTGATGTTATTTAACCAAAATAATGTAATATTTTCCTAAATGATATACGAAAATTAAAATGTAAACAAAAGTTAAACTAACAATTTGATTGAATGAATTAATACTGACGGGTTATGATTGACAACTTACTGTTCTGTGTTGCCAACAATGAGTTATGATTTTTGCTTAAAGCTTTATTGACAGCCAATGAATGATACTGATTTGATGGAATGAATGACAAGGTGAAATATGAGCAAAATGGCTGATATGTACGGCGGTTGATATGACAATGAAAAATGACTTGCAATACTTGATGAAATTATGAGATGAATATGATAATCAGATGATTATGAAATATGATTTATTTATGGGTTTTGAGATGAATGATGGTGATCTGGACGAAGGACCATGAAGAATGTTGGGTAAAAAAGGGAAACTAAGGACCAACCTGGTTCGTGTCGTCCCCGCGTGCAGGTCTTATTTTACGCGTAGCCGTTTCACTTTAAAAACGCACAACACTACGATGAATTTCACTGGATGATGTACTAATCAGATGATTGCGCGAAGATCGCGGCTGATGGTTCCGTTAACGTTGATTCGCGGAGAATATGTTGATTTGCGTGTGCTCGACGCGACGTACAACGAACGACTCATTTTGTTGATGCTACCCCCAGATTTGGTGGATAAAAATAGGAGTAGGATTTAGGGTAGTAACATATTGCAAGTTGGCTAGAAATTAGTAGATTTATATCAACCATACTGGTTTAACGGAGGTTTTGTGTTTATAGATGTTATTTGGAAATTTATGGAAAGTATTAACATCTTTTCTTGTGTTATATGTGACTAGATTAATTAATTTACTTATAATGCGGTAAGTAACTGTATAACACTATGTTTGTTTAATAGTTTGTGTTAATTTTGAGATTACTATATGTTTTATATTAAAGATATAGAAGACTACTTGTTTGTCGCAGTTCTGTCTGCTTTTTTGAGATAATAGATAGCATATGCCTGTTTTCGTTTTGAAATGTATATTTACATCAATCTTTTATTAATATTAGTTCAACGGTTTTATGAAATGATAAGAAACAAACATACAAAATTTCACATTTAGAATACCATTCTGATATACCCATTTTAACAATGCAATCAGTCTTCCAGAGTATAAACAGACGTGTTGACTATTGATAACTCTTGTGAGAGGTGATTCTTCAGTGAGAAGCCTCAGATATTCTTGCTTAAGCCAGTTGTTATTGTAGGTTATACTATTATGATAATGGTTGTGTCTGAGAGAAAGCCCATTGCTAGTCATGTAGACTGAAGACCTCATTTGCTAGCATTGTCCTATGTCAGGCTGATGGATATGAGCAGGTCCCCCTGAAAACTATCATTACAAATTCCTGGTGAATTTGACAAAATGAGCCAACTGATATGACCTCATGCTCATTGTATCATCCTCCACTGGTCTACTATAATTGTTAGCTGCTTTACAATTTAGAAAGTATAATAGTTAATGTAAATTAAAATTAATTTAATACTTAACAACTTTTTGTTCGATTAAATTCATTTAATTATTAAAATAGTTAATTTAAAATAGAAAATAAAGACAAAACAAAAAAAAATAACAATAAAAAAAAGTCGATGGCGGGAATCGAACCTTGAGCGTCCATTTGGTAACTTGATTTGAAATTCCACAGCTTATTTCTTCGAAATTACTAGGCATTTTGAAATAATACTTAGGGTTCGCATACCCTTATCGGATACTACTACTACACGTAGTGCCAGTGTAAACAGTGAATGCAGGCGGGTGAAAAATTTTTATGTTTAACGGCTTTATATATACAACAGTCCAAAAGAGGGTCTTTACAGAAAATGTTGTCCAACTTACATTACATTGTGCCAGGTTGTCGAAGTCTGGTTATTTACGTCTCTTAAGATATGCCATATAATCAGACAGTGTCAGTTGAACAGCATCTTCAGATGTCTCTCTAGTTTGGTTTTATATTTACTAACAAGTTAAAGACTTACTTTTATTTATTTTTGTTACTGTACACCATTATTGTCATATGTTTTATTATATTCTTATTTTGTATTATGTGCGCTGAATATCAAATACTATTGGCCAAAGAATGGTATAATATATTATTTTGACAGCCTCGGTGGTCTAGTGGTTTAGTTTAGTTTAGTACGAGGAATCGAACCCACAACCATCAGATAGTAAAGTGGTGTACACTTTACTATCTGATGGTTGTGGGTTCGATTCCTCGCACGGTACAAACATTTGTTTTCATTATTGTTTGTATCAGTCTGGGTGTTTTCTGTGTATAATATGTATTTATTTACATAAAAAATCTATCCATGTATTCATATCAGTTGTCTAGTACCCATAACACAAGCTCTGCTTAGCTTAGGACTAAATGGCACTGTGGGAATTGTCCTGAGATATTATTATATTATTATTATTATTAATTGACCCAACAGTAGTGCCGCAGATTGCTGTCTGTCATCTGTGATCATAGAGACAATCTATAATTTTATTGTTATATAATACTAGATGTGCCCACAGTTTCACTTGAAATGCACCGCAGTTTCGCATGAAAATTATAACCTATATGTTATTGTGTGTAATCCCCGTTGAATTCAAACGGGTAACTAAATTACGAAAGCCTGAGCCGACACTCGCAATGCTATAGGCTCTACAGCATTGCGAGTGTAGTAGAAATTAACATATGATCTCCCCTGTCCAATTCAAACTAGGGTCGAATTATGAAGCCTAAGCCAAGGTTCAAACCCATACCGGTGATCTAAGACTGAAGACGGTCAGGCGGGAGTTGTCCTTCAGCCGCCATAAGTCCTTCCTTTGGTTTATGCCTTTTCTTTACTGTGTGTTACAAATAAAGTATATTCTATCTATCTATCTTATTCTATACATAATACGCATCCCCTCCGATCAACCCCTCGTCCAGGGGGGGAAAGGGATTGTTAGTAATGTGGATTGATAACCCCATTGCTAGCAATGTAACATTTCAGGTCGACCTCCACGCGGTTCCCCCTGGAAACCATCGTGTTAAATTCCTGGTGAATTCGTCACGATGGGCTAACTGACCTGACCTCATGCTCATTTTATCATCCTCCACTGGTGCCCCGCCAGCGTAAACCGTTAGCGCAGGCGAGTGTACCATTCCATTATCATCCACAAAAAAAAAAAACCCCTCGTCCAATACAAACGGGGATAGAAATTACGACGGCCTGAGCCGAGGTTCGAAACTCTAGCGGTGCCCTCAGGCTAAAGTCGTATCCATAAGTCCGCTCCATAAGTCCTTCCTTTGGTTTGGAGTGCCATCTGCACTCACCCCCTATCGTCCGCTGAAGCTGTAAAGGCCAGCTGCGGACAACAGCATTAGAGTAGTTTGAAAAAATCCTAGCGGTGCCCTCAGGTTAAAGTCAGGCGGGAGTTGTCCTTCAGCCGCCATAAGTCCTTCCTTTGGTTTGGAGTGCCATCTGCACTCGCCCCCTATCGTCCGCTGAAGCTGTAAAGGCCATGATGTGTTATTCTGATCCATAAGCTATATTAATGTAAAATTTAATCAAAATCCGTTCAGTAGTTTTTGCGTGAAAGAGTAACAAACATCCATCCATACTCGTAAACTTTTGTGTTTATAATATTCATAAGATTATTATTATTTACTCCATGTCACAGCTTTGAAGCTGGTGGATATTTGTATTCAAAAGTATATATAATAATATGTATATGTATCGCTCTAGTTGTTTTCTATGTATATTATGTAGATAATATATTTATGAAAAAAACTATGTATTTATAATTGTCTATTACCCATAACACAAGCTCTGCTTACCTTGTGGCACTAAATGGCACTGTGTGAATTGTCCTGAGATATTATTATAATTATATACATAATAGGTATATGTACAAGAGCATTCTGCCTTGAATGACAGGCTTGTTATTTTTCTTAATCCTTCTTTTTATTAATATATTTTACGGCTGTGGATACAAGCCCTTTTTAGCCCAAATTAACAAGTACACTAACTCGAAGTTTTACATTACAAATTACGAATTTTGTCGCGCAATATTAGTAAATTCGCCACATAGGCAAACAATGTTTAAATCGACAATTTATTTATGATAATATCTTGGACTTTTTTTTTCTTGCAGAGAAATGACAGAAAAGAATCTAAATAAGATTAAAACTGAAGAAGATAATACAGATACAAAAGTATATGTTAGTAAAGATATTAAAAGGATGATCGATACAGAAAATAAAAGCAGATTTAAAAGTGAACAGCTCGATGATGTTTATTCAATTAATGGTGAGATCTTTAAAATTAAACATCAAGAAACGAAAAAGTATCAAGAAGTCAATATATACGTCGAAAAATTGGTACCACACTGTTTCGAGATGGCTGAAACAGATGAGTACTGTGTGTCTGCCGATGAGGAATCTGAGGGTATGTTAAATAATTTACATTTAAAATTAAATTTGATAATGGTAGTATAATCTCGATGAGTATTTGATTTTTGTTTGACTATATTATTACTAATAATCCTAGCTCTGTCTGGGACTTCGTTCACGTGGAGTAACCTTGACCAAGTAAAGAAAATATTTTATCATTCTAGCTTAAAAAATGGCAAATTTCCATACAAACTTTCATCCCGTTTTATTTTACACAATTAAGGGTGAAATTTATACAAATGTTGAATGTTATATTTATTTATATTCAAATAACAGCCTATAAAAATATCTATTATTATTACTACTAGCATTAAAAATGATTAAACTTCCATACAAGTTGTCATATCCCCTTTCAACCCCTTACAACTTTTTTTCGCATTTAAAAGCAGCATATGTCCTTTCTAAAAGTCTATCTGTGTACCAAATTTCACCATCAAGCAGTTTATGAAGGAAGCGTCTCGACGCTACTTCGACTCTGGCCAATCCCACCCTAACCCGCTTATAGTCAGTGCGGTCGACTACGCACCGAGGAGTAATATCCGACATAGGCGACAACGTCGCCCGAGGCACGTTCTCATTGACCCCGACGACCCCATAACGGCAGGTAACCTCCCCACGGGTTCACCCGTTCCACCCCAACCACACTTTTACACACACACACGACACCGTCCTCGCCGGCGAAGACGACGACTTCAAACACACATTACCGCGCATACAACCGGGCGCCTGCACGCACCCAGGCGCTCCACACCGGCACCCCCGGGCGCTCCACACCGGCGCCCCCGGGCGCTCCACACCGGCGCCCCCGGGCGCTCCACACCGGCGCCCCCGGGCGCTCCACACCGGCGCCCCCGGGCGCTCCACACCGGCGCCCCCGGGCGCTCCAAACCGGCGCCCCCGGGCGCTCCACACCGGCGCCCCTCCGATCGATCCCCCGTCCAATTCAAACGGGGATCGAAATTACGACGGCCTGAGCCGAGGTTCGAACCCCTAGTGGTGCCCTCAGACTAAAGTCGTATCCGTCAGGCAGGAGTTGGCCTTCAGCCGCTCCATAAGTAATTCCGCGGGTTTGGAGTGCCATCCGCACTCGCCCCCTAACGCCCGGTAAAGCGGTAAAGGCCAGCTACGGCCAACAGCATTAGAGTAGTCCGAAAAAAAAAATCAATTTTCATTTATATCGGTTCGGTAGTTTTGGTATTAAAGCGTATTAGTCAGACAGCCGGACAGTTAGTTTCGCATAATGTTAGTAAGGAAGTAAGTATCATAAATATATATTACCGTCCTTTGTACCGCGAATTACGACTATTATTCCTAATGTGGTAGTCAGACGTATTGGCTGCTTTCAATAAGTGGTGAACGACGACCGGACTTCTTTGGCAGGTAGCTGATGATAATAAGGAGAAACTTAAATACTTTATTTTTAAAAAAAATCTTTTATTTTAGAAAAATAAAGTTAATTTCTACGCGGACGAAGTCGCGGGGTCAGCTAGTTATTTGATAAAAATCGTTATTTATTTCAGATATGTCTACGAGTGATGACGGACTATTAAGTATAACATTACAGAAGGTACCACATGGAGTTATAATTAATTCAGTTGTATATCTGACTGACTATCAATGGAATACCTTGGTCTTCCACGACGTGAACGATACACGCTGCTTCGTTTGTGATGATTCTATCAGTCTTGACGTATGCAACGTGCATATTACAAGTGACTTACATCAGGAGCGACTGAATTCGTGTCAACCATTGGAGAAATTTGATATAAGCGTTATAAGACAGGTATGTTTTTTTTTCAACATACTCGTAAAGTGGATTTAATTTCACCGGTTTTTTATATATAAAGCAACTCATAAAACACACGTGCGTTATAAACCCAAATTCATTACTGTTAGCACATGAAACCTCTTTTTATACAAAAACCAAAAAATAATTGTAATTAAAAATAAGTAAAAACTTCTTTGAGGGAGGCCTATGTCCAGCAGTGGACGTTTTCCGGGCTGCGATGATGATGATGATGATGAAAAACTTCTTTTCTTTCTGTGAACACGTTCTATCATTTATTATTAATTTTAAATGCATTAAACATAGATCACAGTAAGAAACACAAAATAACTTGTAACAAACCCTTTTCGCCCCGTACTTTGATATTGTTTTTTATCAAACTTGCACTGACCGCTGCGCGGGGCCAAACGCTAGGCACTGCGGGAGAGCTGTAATATAAATAAGTATAAATAGTCTCTGTGTTCACGGCACTGACGACGGCTGCACACGGGTTACAAATGTCTTGAAACTCGTGTTGTAACTCGACTCCAGTTGAGTCATCCTCAATATCTGGTGAGTACTGGTCCGTTTGTAGTCGACAATGTTCTGCTCCTTGGTGGCGTAAGGTGTGACCCGTGATCGGTGTAGCAGCACGCAACAGGAAGTAGACTCAGTAGGTGCAACGGCACCCATACCTATGGGTGGGACCATACCATATTGGGACCTCCCAACATCCCTGAACCACTATGACACTTATTAGTGGTTCCGATTGGCTCTCTTGCTCCCTGCCTCTGCTTATCCCATCTGGGATATCAGTAGGAATATATCTCTTATATATTTTATCATTATTATTTTTAGATGACAGATAAATATCATTGCGCAGTTTGCAATGAAGTATTTGACTATGAATTTATACATGACCACCTTGAAAGTAAGACTCACGAAGATAACAGATTGTTCGCTATAAACAAAGTTATTGATACACTAGAAAGCTTGGATATAGAAAATAATAGAAACATAAGTAATGATCGTTATCATTTCGATGCAAACGCATTAAATAATAATCATTATGAATATGATAATGAGAATTGTAAAAGCATTAGTGTTAGCGACGGTGATACAATTAACAGTAACAGTGAGTCAATGAAAGAATATGAAGATAATAATGACTATGTTAATGAAAACGAAAATACTCGTAATTATCTATCTAAAGAGATGTCGTATGCATCGGTTGCAAAGAAGACCGATTTCGTGAACAAAACCAATGGACATAAATGGTTTAAAATACCATTAAATACCTGGCACATGATTTTGGTGTTGAAGAGAAATATATTTTACTGTATGGTGTGCAAACTTAAAGGTTCTATTATAATCAAATCTAGTCATTGTATTGATGTTGATCATATAGAACGGTTAAACAGATGCGAAATATTAAAAAAATACAAAGATTATTTTATCAGACAGGTATGTACATGTCATTTATTTACAACTAATTGTGCCTGCGATTTCCGTTTCCATGACCGCATGTAAAATGGATGAGGAATGACGAATTTCCATACAAGTTTTCATCTTGATATCATCATCTTCTACTTTAAGGGTAATATTATCATTCTTACTGTACCATCTCTCTATATTCTGGTAACATTGACACAGTACGCTAAACATATACAAGAATATGAAACTGATGAGGAGAGACAAACCAGGAGTGCTCTCTGCACAAGGAGACAACATGTTGTGAGTCAGCTGTTACCTACACTGAAGGTGGTGAAGCAGTTCACACTACCAGTCCATACAATTATATAATAAGTTGCCTATAGATTTAAAAAGTTTATTATATACGAATGATTTTAAACGCAAACTAAAGGATTTTTTATTAAAGAAGTGTTATTATACAATTAATGAATTATAATATAAGTGGACATGGACATGACATTTAAATTTATTATTATGAAATTGACATTTTTCCTTATTATACATGTATTTATTTTAGACATATAATGCTTTAATTAAAATTATGATATGTAATAAAATTCAACACAATGTAAATTGTTACGAATGAATTGAAAATGAAAAAAATATTTCAAACGTTGAATGTAATGTTATTTAAAGGAGGTCTAAAACATACTGGAATTGTTGTGACGTTTCTTTCAAAAGTGAAGAAACGGGAATTAGTTCCTTCAAGTTTTATATTTTCCACATACGACGTCTTTTACTAAGCTCTCATCTGTCTCTACATCCAAATTTATTTCAATTATTTCATTGTTTTTGGTAAGAAAATTGAATCTCTCTTACTCAATCACGCTAATATAGTTGTATGAGTTTGGTAAAATTTGATTCACATTTTATTATAGTACTATACGGAACAGCTTTGAGGTTGGATTAAGTAGTTTAAGTATAAAATATTAACTTTTGTAATTTTCAGGTTGACGATAAACAAGTTCACTGTGAACAATGTAATAATCTTCAATATAATTACCTAATTGATGAACATCTGGACAGTCATTCAGGGTCAGATAAATACACCAAAGAAACTAGTAGTAGAAGCAATAATAGAAAAGGCGATGATGCAATAAATGCAAGAAATACAAATAGTCCTGTACAAACAAGTAACAGAATTACAACTAATACATATAACAATACCAACAGTGATAATAATTTCAGTAATACAAATGAGATATACTCAAATATGTATATAAATGTATTAGGTCGAAACATGAACATCAGTTTAATGTGTTTTAATGTCATATTTGAGCATCCAGACCATTACTTTTGCGGATTGTGCCATTTTAAAGAGGATAAAAGCAGAATAATGCTACATATCAAGACTGAAAAACATATAAACTTAATTCATACACACCTATTCTTATATTGTTTTGGAAATCACTTGGTGAGGAATGTAAGTATTCTTGAAAGATTTTTTTATATACTTGGAGTAGCAAACGAGCTGACGGCCTGTACACTTCAATAGCGTAGCGTACATGATACCATGTGAGACATACCTCTTAGTCTGTAATTGCCTTATTTAAAATCAATCTTGCCTTAGAAATAGGTGAAGTAAGATGCTCACAGAGACTGCCTTGTTTATAAAGTCAAAGTTGGACAACTGCTACTATGAGGGGGGAAATGGATTGTTAGTAATGTGGACTGTCGGTCCCATTGCTAGCAATGTACCGTATGTAATGTAATGTATGTGTAATGTCAGGTTGACCTCCACGCGATTCTTCTTGAAAACCATCGTGATAAATTCCTGGTGAATTTGTCACGATGGGCTAACTGACCTGACCTCATGCTCATTTTATCAACCTCCACTAGTGCCCCATATGAGGTTTAGATATTTATTCTCATTAAGAATTACAAATAATTCACTTAAATATGAGAACTAAAAATATAAACTTATGCAAAATTTAATAATTCTGGAGATTTAAAAAAAGGTACATATAATACAGACGGTGGAGTAGCAAAATCTAAATAGCAACTACCCACATAAATAAAAACATTTATTGGTTGGCGTACTGACCGAGCATTGAAGTCCTCAGCGGTACTGGGTTTATATCTATGCATATAAATATATTAATATATTGGAGTGTCTGTTTGTAATATTGAAATAACCCTTTTTTTTTTGTACTACATGCTATGAATATAAATATGTTACATACACCAAAATAACATTTTTTTTACAATTTTTGTCTGTCTGTTCGTTCCCGCTAATCTCTGAAATGGCTGGACTGATTTTAAAGGAACTTTTTTGACAGGTAGCTAGCTATGTAGTAAGGAGTAACTTAGGCTACTATATTTTAGAAAAATAAAGTTAAATTCAGCGCGGACGAAGTTACGGGTACAGCTAGTAATATTATATATTGAATAATGAATGGGAAATGATAAGTTTAGTTTTGATTTACAGATTAGAAACGCTTTCCACTGCGGTCTATGTAATATGCCTATGAGAGAGAACCCTGAAGTGGTAAATAACCATATTTTAGAACCCAATCATATTTCAAAATTATATTTAGCATTAGGATACAATGCACCCTTTCAAATACTACCAACTAACAATCAACCAGCACAGACAAATGCATGTGTACAATTTCAAAATCAAGACGTGAATAAGAAAATAGATGAATATGCCAATACAGGCACAAATAGCAATACAGAGAGGGTAAATGAAATTGCATTGGGAGGAAGCGAACCGAAATTTGCAGCAAACGAAATTAAATTGAACGTAGACGAACCGAAATTGGGAGAAAACAAAATTAAATTAGTAGATAACGAAATTAAATTGGTAGAAAACGAAATTAAATTGGGAGAAAATAAAATAAAATCGAGTCAAAAGGAAATTAAATTAGAAGAAGATGAAATTAAATTGGTATCAAATGAGATACGATTGGATGATCAATTTGACGTGAAAAACGGTAGTGACGACTCCATTGTAGCGCCTTTTGATACCGAAGCGAAATTGTTTGTACTATTGGATAAATATTATAAAATCACTCTGACATCATACAACTCTATGGTTGCAACGGGCAGCGGTTCGAGATATTGCTTTATTTGTAATGTGGAGGTTGAGCCCGATGATTTTAAAAAACACATAGCTCGACGTGATCACGAGAAAAACATGCAGAAATATAAATTTCTGGATAAATATAAGAATAACTTAATTCGACAGGTAGGTATTAGATATATATATCTCAGAACAATTCTCACAGCCCCATCTAGTTCCAAATTAAGCAGAGCTCGTGTTATAAGACAACTGATATAAATACATAGATACACTTATTTTACAAGCATACATAAAATGTTTAAAAAACACCTAGATAGCATCGGCAAACAATCATACTCACGAATATACTTATTATTAACTGCTATATGTTACTTTATCTCGCTAAGCTGTGTATTTCGCGCGGTTCCTTCTTGAAGTCATTGTTGATAATTTCACGTTGGGCTAACTGACGTAGTTAAGCCCATCCTATCATCTCCTACTGGTAGTCTAGCGCCTACCGTAATTGATTACAGAAAACTAATTATATTTATATATTTTCAGACCTACCTGGCCTACCACTGTGCTATATGCAATGTTATTATATACCATTCTGATTTATCGGCACATTTTGAATGGGATCCTCATAAGCAACTTGTAAAACAAAATAGCGCAATCTCGAGAAAACAACGCAAAAACCAAATTAAAGCTGGCCTCTCAGTACATAAACTTGAAACACTTTCTGTGTTTCAAGTTTATGTACTGAGAAAGGAAAGGAAAATTGTTAAAGAAAAACAAATCAAAACCCGTTTGACAGCTGTTATCGTAGACAATGTTGAGTTAAGAAGAATAAAATATGCCGTTAAGTTGAATAAAATGGTCATTGTGAATGGTAATATTTTAGAAGTTATGTGGGAGGCTTGGAATGGTATAGTAGCTGGGACGACTAGTCACAAATGTATAATATGTCAGGATATTGAAATAGACGTAGATACCCATGTTGAAACGCAGACACATGTGGATAATATTAATAAAAGTATAATAGAAAAGTATATTCCTAATTTGATTAGAGAGGTAGGTTACAACTATTATTACTAGTACTAATTACTAACTACTATCTAATTCTAGCCGATACCAGAAAGGACCTAGCGGATTCAAATTAGTTAGCTATTACATATACCATATATTTGACTGCAGTTCAAATATAATAATAAAAATATCTCAGGACAACTCATACAGCGACATCTAGTCCCAAGTTAAGCAGAACTTGTGTTATAGGTACATTGGCCAACTCGGCGAACTTTGTACCGCATCAGAGTTAAATATTGTGTCGACTCCCATATCGAATTTTTATCGCATCTTATTTGATAGATACGAACAGTTTGTATGGAAAAATAAAATTGGTGTTTTTATTATTTCTTTACATTTTATCACCTTAAAATATTTGAAGAATATCAAGAAAGGTTTTTTCTTGGACTTCTACAAATATTTTAAAACAAAAATTTTTGCCATTTCGGTCTAAACATTCGCGATATTTAGTAAGACTAACAAACGTTCATTGATTGTTATTTGTATATATTATGGAAATATTTTAATGTTTCTTGTTAATAGTTCAAATTTCATGTTTTAATATTTTACCTTTTTTAACCTATATATTTTACTTTTAAATGTGACATCACGAATTTAGAAACCACCTCTCAATCTTTGTCACACGTCACGCTTTGTCGACCCCCCTTTGTCACCCGTCACACTTTGTCGACCCCCCTTTGTCACACGTCAATCTTTATCAACCCCCCTTTGTCACTTCCCCCCACTTTATTGTGTGCGGAGGACCTATAACGTGTAACGTTAATATATGAATAATAAAAAGAGTTAATAAAAGCTTTTACTAACAAACTTTTCGTGTTAATGCATTTTAATTATTTTTTTATTACAGATAAATTATGAAATATTGAACTGTGTTACTTGTAACAATGAAATGGTTAACAAAGAAGAAACAATTGCAAATCACTTAACCAGCAAGAGGCACGGAAAAAAATATAAGAAATTATTAGACAAGAGTTCAAATGTGAACACCTACGAGAACTGTGATATTGATGTTTTAAATTTAGTAAGTTAGAATTACTAAGTTACAAAATGAGGTTCATATTTGACAAGTGTATTTAGTTTTAAAATAACTTCATTATTCGATATATTTGACTTTGAAATGTGTCATCATGAAATTTAGAACGACCTATCAAACCCTTGTCACACTTTGTTGTTGAGGGATGTATAACGTGTGACATAATATTTAGGATAGGACTAGTGTTGCCACCTTTTTTTGTGCAGTTAAAGCACATTGGTTATTATAGGTAAGAAAAAAGTACATAGTAACAAAATAAAGTACAATTTATTTTTCTTTATTATTATACTTAAAATAATATTTTTTATTGCTTTTTGCAGTTTGTATCAAATTAGTATCTCTCATATTTTATTATATCACTTTACTTTTATTTATTATATATTTAAATTAAAATAAATAATGAATATGTCATTTACTAACAGATGGTCGTGGGTTCGATTCCTGGCACGGTACAAATTTGTATTCATGAGTATGATTGTTTGTATCGGTCTGGGTGTTTTCTATGTATAATATGTATTTATTTTAAAAAAAATGTATCCATATATTTATATCAGTTGTCTAGTACCCATAACACAAGCTCTGCTTAGCTTGGGACTAGATAGCGCTGTGCGAATTGTCCTGAGATATTATAATAATAATAATAATAATATTTATATGAATATTCAGACAACCTGGGAAATAGAAGCATTGAGTAAGGGGAAGGTAGGTGGCAGTTAGATAATATATGAATACTAAATATACATACATACAAATACCATTAATATACACACATATTATTATTATATTTATATGAATATTCAGTCAGCACCAATCGATAAATTTCGTTTAATGAAAAGATACATACGACTAAACTTTTCAAAACCCCAAAGATATCAAATCATGCGAAATAAAGTATTTTTATTCACAGAAAGTATAGAGTAACAGTAACCTGAAATAACGTACAATATTTCATTATAAAGTACAGGTGGCAACCCTAGATAGGCCTCCCCTTTCTCTAACAAACTTTTCGTGTGAATACATTTTATTATTATTATTTGTAAACCTATAAATACAGTATTATGTTGAGATTAAAATCTGTCAATACTCACTTAATGACAGGTTCCTGATCATATACTGGAATGTTCTATAGCGGAGAGGTATAAAACAGATGTTTGCTTAATGGTGTATAATGACAAAGATTATGACACATATAAAGAAATATACAGTTTTACCTGTAATTAATTTAATAATTAATCTGCTGCATTTATTAGCATAAGGTTTAACATATTATATTATTTTTGGCTATTTGCCAAAACATATATTATTCTTATCATAAATATATTTAATTTGTTAGAATCTGTACATATCATTACATAAAACAAGGTCGCTTGTGCTGTTTAAATCTTTAAAACTATACAACGGATTTTGAAGCTATTTTTTTAATAGATAGAGTGATTCAAGAGGAAGATTTATATGTATAATACATGTACACAGACGAGGCCGGGGCGAGTAGCTAGTGTAGTATAAAATGAAGTCGATTCCACTGGCTGTTTGCCTAGATCTTTTAAACTACGCAACGGATTTTAATGCAGTTTTCAGCAATAGGTAGAGTGATTCAAGAGGTAGATTTACATGTATAACATGTACCCGGACGGACCCGGACGAAGCCGGGGCGAAGGGTAAGTAGTGGTATTATAAATCTTACCTTCGCTCCAATATTGTAGTATTGTAATAATAATATACAGAGCGCCGTCCAGTCCCAAGATAAGCACGGCTTGTGTTATGGGTACTAGACAACTGATATAAATATTAGCAATCTGTATCTCTCTGTGTTTTTATTATTGAAAAACTTTGAGGTCCTAAAGGTACTATAAACCAAACACTTTACTTGTGTCTATATATATGGTTTATTGCTTGTTTTCAAATACAGGTACACTTAGGTCGATAGAACCGTAAAAAACATTCTCGAACATTCCACGATTGCATACAAGTCGATAGAACCGTAAAAAACATTCTCGAACATTGCACGATTGCATACAAAACATGACAACACCTCACTGATTTTGCACAAAACGAAACGATGGCGCGTTTTACTTTTATGACAGCGCCATCTAGTGACAATTGTGAGAATTAAATTTACCTTATATTTCTAACATTATTATTATTCATTTTAATTCGGATTACATCCATATTGTGTTAGTAAAAACTTATAAGACTATGTTAGTAATTTATAATATATAGATACAGAGATACATTTAGTTCATATATCTGTGTCCACCTCCAGAAGCACTGGGTCCACAATGCAACGATATCCAGTGCCTTCCGGAGCGGACAATCAGGTATACTCGCAACAGTTGTTAGGATTTGTGATTTGTGCTCCACCGAATTCTAGACTTAGATTTATTGATATAATGTATTCGTTATACATAATTTTAAAAAGAATTATTAGCAATTTTTTATTTTTATAGACTTAATGTATTTTTTAAACATAATTTGAAAAAAAAGAAAAAAATAATCTACTCTCTTCTATATAAATACACTTGTAATGTGCGAAATTTTATACCCAACATGAATAATATTTATATTTGATTTGATGTATTACTACTGTGATTTCAACGTGTGATCTTTGAAATTCATTATTTTAGAATAAAAAATATATGAATTCTAATGTAATTAAGTTTAATAAATTATATAAAATTCAAAAGAGAATTTTCATTATGCACCTTGTTTTTTTTTTATTTATTTTTATACAATACATAAGGTTATGTTATGTCGTAGTTTGGTCGCTGAACAGTTAATATTACTAGTCGAAGTCTGTTCGGCGAACAGTCCACACTACGAGTCGAAGTGTGTTCGGCGAACAGTCCACACTACGAGTCGATGTCTGTTCGTCGAATAGTCCACACTACGAGTCGAGTATGTTCGCCGAACAGTCAACACGAGTCGATGTCTGTTCGTCGAATAGTCCACACTACCAGTCGAGTATGTTCGCCGAACAGTCAACACTACGAGTCGAAGTCTTTTCGCCGAACAGTGAATACTATGAGCCATAGTCTGGTCCCAAATAGTCAACACTAGACTTCCTAGCTATATCCAAACTATTGCTTGCCTGGTGATGTCTCGTTTAGAAGCGAAACGTATGATGCAATATGAGTGTAGATTCAATAACAATTTGATCACTAATAGAGAAGGTCGTAATCGTAACGCTTCCAGTAGCGGTGGTCAGGTTTCCGCACTAAATATTTGTAGTCTCACACATGCTAATGGTAGCGGAATGAAACAAAATAATACAAATCGTAATAACAGTTATATATTCATTAACATTTTAAATGCTTTTTATATCACAATGCATGTACCTATATAAAATGTAAATTCTAAATAATGACTCACTTTTTTATACTCTTTTTATACAAATCCTACTATTGATAATAGAATAGAATAAAAAATCATTAAATAGATATAAATTTATGTTATTTTGTTTTAATAACAATATAATTTATTATGTATTAATGTTTGCGTATTTAATATATTATTGTAATGGATCAGATGAATAGATGATGTGGATGAAAATTACGAGGATCCGGGACACGAGACCGTGGATACTTAGGATGAGTGGATTCATAATATTTTCCAATTGATATCTACCTATTATATGTATATACATATATATAATAATTGTGATGTAATAAATGTTATTCTATTCTATTCTATATATTACTAGTTGTTCCCGCGACTTCCTCCGCGTGGAAATTAACTTTATTTTCTAAAATAAAAGCAGCCTTAGTTAGTCCTTATTACATTAGCTACTTACCAAAAAACGTCCCGTAAAATCTGTCCAGCCATTTCAAAGATTAGGAACAAACAGACCGACAAAAATTGTAAATGTACCGTATTTATATTCATATGCATGTAGTAAAAGACGGTTATTTCAATATTACAAACAGATACTCCAATTTTATTTATATGTATAGAGTATAGATTAGTATATTAATTAACATTTTGGTTTATATCAAGGGAATATCACCTTCTAAATCTTTTTCTGGGCGGAAACGTGAAATCACTTACATTCTCTTTAATAACTAAAGCCTTTTCACATCCCATATAAGGGTTCGGGAAACCAACAACTTTCTTTGGGGCAAAATAACTAATGAAATACACTAACTCATTCCGACTGCAGTGAGTTGAAAAACATACATTTAGTCTTTTATCTCGCTCGCACATTTCAAAGGGTGCATCCTCTGATGTGTAATTCTTCCATGTCATAGCAGAAAGCCGAACAAACAAGTAATTGGCTTCAGTGTTTGTCTTTACACAGTTTGCGTGGGAATGCCGCGGCCATTTGTTGTAGCAGACGTGTATTCTAGTGTTTGTTGCATCATTTGTAACTCCAATCACTTTATCTGGCATTTTCCTGAAAGAAAACGGTGAAGTAGAAGTAACTATGTTTGAATCAAATTATCTTCATTCATGTATAATACACTCTAATTATATATGATAGCGCAAATTCAATACAATGACTATTTTCATTGTTAATTGATTAATTTAATTATATTCGGCCTATATTGATCAAATCACTTATTTAATATTTAACATAATAAAGTATTAAAGGATTATTATAAATATTGTAAATAGCGCCATCTAGTACTTATAGACCGAATTAAGTTGTTTATCATACGATGACTATTACACTCGCTTCATTCCCTACTACACGGACTTCGGTCTATAAATACGGAGGTCGGTAGTTGAATAGTCCTCTTTCGTTGGGTGAGCCGCGGCATTCAGTCGACGAGCGCAGAGCGTGCCGGTTGTGTTTTGGATATTGAAGTGAATTGTATTAGAAATGGGTTAATCCCGGTCTTAGTTGGGCCTGGAGGGAAACTGCAAGTAGTGAAGGTGAGTGTTAATGCATTCTAAAAGGGCCTTTTAAACCTACACCCGTGTCACAAGTCACGGGCGCTACTTGGGGTTTCCCTTGCGGTAGCCGGCTTCAAAGCCTCAGTCGTCATCATTATAGTAGATCTTACAATCGTCACGATGATTCGTCTTGTACCAATACCCGCTCTTACATATATCTATTACACTCTAATATGTCAAATCTACCGTCAGTCTGGAATGCTTTCGAGATGAGAACTGACAAGAAACTCAGCTTGTATTCTTTTCAAATATGGTTGTACATGTTTACAGTAATACAGATTCATTTTTAAATTCAAATTTGGGAGAATAGAGATACCATCAGAATATGATATAGCAATATGTCAAAGGCAAATAGTCTAATCCAGAGGTTCCCAAACTTTTTTGTGTAGTAGGCCCCTTGCCATATTCTTCGGTTTTGGGTAGACCCCCATTCTTATCTGGTTTTGATTATTTGTAAATAATTAATTCTATTAAAGTTTAGTGTTAAAAACATAAAGTAAAAACAACAAGATGACCGCTGTTGTAGACATCTTGCAGTTTGTCATAGACCCTTGGGGGTCTATATAGACCACTTTGGGAATCACTGGTCTAATCAGTGTTCATTCTGAGCTTTAACCTAATCCTAAGCTATACTAATATTATAAAATCAATATTCTAATAGACTTGCTATTAAGTAAAAACAATATGTACATCATGACTAGAACCGACCTGGATACTGCTGATTGAACAAAACACACGGCAAACTTAGGCAAATTCTGCAGTTTTGGCAAGCTGAAGAGGAAACGCTACTACACATCCTATGTGGTTGTAGCTTTTTTTTTCGGACTACTCTAATGGTGTTGGCCGCAGCTGGCCCTTACAGTCTCACCGGATGTTAGGGGCAAGTGCAGACGGCACTCCAAACCCGCGAAAGGACTTATGAAGCGGCTGAAGGCCAGCTCCTGCCTGATGAATACGACTTTAGTCTGAGGCCACCACTAGGGGTTTGAACCTCGGCTCAGGCCGTCGTAATTTCGATCCCCGTTTGAATTGGATGGGGGATCGATAGGAGGGGCGCCGGTGTGGAGCGCCCGGGCGCGTGCAGGCGCCCGGTTGATTGCGCGATATGGTGTGTTGGGGGTCGTCGTCTTCGCCAGCGAGGACGGTGTCGTGTGTATGTGTAGAAGTGTGGTCGGGGTGGAACGGGTGGGCCCGTGGGGAGAGTGACTGCCGTTATGGGGCCGTCGGGGTCAGTGTGGTTGTAGCCTACTCATGCATAAACGAAAAATCTCCTATAGAAAGTATACACGAGGAGGAGAGAGGAGATAAAAACCATCGGTCCTAAGGCAGGCAAATCGTTCTATCTTCACCCACTAAAAGAGAAACACGAAAAAACTTTTCAAACTCGTATTGTTTTTGAAAATTTTTTTTCGTATTTCTTTTTTTTAAACCTTAACATACAAACTCATAAATCTTACATATTTATAATATTAGTATAAAAGTTTAGATTTCAGAATAATTGTTTCATCATCTGCTTCTTCCTTATCCCATTTATTTCGGGCATAATATGTTTTTCTCTTCCATTTATCCCTGTTCGCAGTCATACCGTTATTTACTCCTTCTTGCCATATCATCTTTCACAATCTGTTTTTTGGCCTTCCTCTGCCCTTATAACCATCCACATTCAAAAGAATTGTTTGCTTATAATTAAATTCTAGATATAAAATTCGTCACACTAGGGGACTTGATAATGTGACAAGCTGTGACAAGAATGAAGATGGTAATAAATATGACTCATGTGACATAATTTAGGGATCACCCTTCATCCTCAAAGTCTTACCTGTACAATTTCCAAATACTGTCACCTACATACACCTTTACCTGCAGTTTCTTATATATATCATTAAACACCTTCTCGTATCCATACTTGGCTGATATACTTAGAGCAATCTGATTATTCCTATCTTTGTTCAACCAATCTTTTATTTCTTTAATAAGGTAATCAATTGCATCTTTTCTTTTCATGAAATCATCATAGTTTTTGTTATAAAATGTTGTGTCTATATACATTGCATCAACTCCTATTGGTTCAGTACGATCAGAGGGCTTATGAAATTCTCTGTACTTCTTGACATCATTTAGCGATATTCTGAAGTCCCCTGTGTATAGAATTGTTTTTCTTGTAGTTTGGAATAGAAACATGATGGAACCCAAGCAGTGACCTGCTGGTACAGCGGTTACAGTGATGATGCATTCTTCTAAGTTTTCCTCAGGCACTGCACGGAGTTCCACCACTGTTGGTTCACCTGGAATTGCAGAATTTACAAGTATTTATTATCTTATTAATTTTATAAACACAGCAGTTTGTGAGTATGGATGGATGTTTGTTGCTGTTTCATTCACGATTTTGATGAAATGTAAAGTTTCATATATAAATACTTATATTCGTATAAGTTAGTAATATCACTTATATATCAAAATAACATATAGGTTATGATTTTCATTGGGGTGAAACAAAAATAACCCTGTAATAAATAACCCTGGACAATTAACACAGCGCCATCTAGTTCCATGGTAAGCGGAGAATAACAGAGCTTGTTTTATGGTTACTAAACACCTGATGTAAATACTCAGATTTTTTTTTGTAAATACATTGATTAAGTATATACTGAGAAAACGCATGAATACAAATGTTTTACTGTGTGAAGAACCTGTTACCATCAGAAGTAAATTGGTGTGCTAAACAGCTAGACCATTGAGATCATCAATGTGGGCTAATAAATTCATTGCTAACAATGTACCATGTCCAGATGACCAACATCCAAGCGGTTCTGGAAACCATGTTAAATTCCTGACTATTTTACAATAATTTTTTTTATGTATGATAATGATGCACCCACCTGTGCTATTGGTTTATGCTGGCGAGGCACCAGTTTTTTTATTGATGATACTCCACACGGTTCCCCCTGGAAACCACCGTGATAAATTCTTGGTGAATTTGTCACGATGGGCTAACTGACCCGACCTCATGCTCATCTTATCATCCTCCATTGGTGCCCCAGCAGCGTAAACCATTAGCGCAGGGGGGTGCACCATTTCATTATCATATAAAAAAAAACACATTGGTTTCCAGGGGGGATGATGTGGAGGTCGACCTAATATGATAAATTATTACTATGGGGCTACTTTTCCCCATTACTAACAATTCCTTCCCCCTATGCTGTAATGATTAGGTAATTGACCTGACTTAGTGCTCACCTTATACTGCCCTGCCCACAGTTAAACCGTTAACGGAGGCGGGCTTACCTGTCCATTATTATCCTTAAAAAACTCACCGTTATGTTCATCCGGGCAAAGCTGGGCATGACATTAGTATTACAATAGTAGTACAACAATAGTACAACATAACTAAAGGGGAAGGGAACTGTTAGTAATGTGGAGTAATAACCCATTGCTAGCAACACATCATTGTCATATTTTTTTTAAAGTTCACCTCAATTGAGGACTCACAAAACTGTGTCGTCGTGCTCAACGTAAAGGTACCAGTTCAGGTTTCGTTTCACACACTAAGAAAAGGAAAGGAACTCCAAAATTACGTTCCTTAGACTATGCTGAATGTCATGGCTATATCAAAGGTGTAGTTATTAAACTCCACACAGTAAATTCTAACTGACGTGACTTCATGCTTGCTTTATTATGTCCCACTAGTCCCGCCAGTGTAAACTTTTAACGCAGGTGGCTGCATCATTCCATTATTGTTAGTGTCTTATGCGTGCCTACCGATTCTACGTACAAAGTCCTCTCTTCATGGTTATCTGTAGGAAATTGCTAATGGCGATAAGACCGCCATTTGTTAATACTTTACCATTTACTGTTTTTCTTATGTTTCATCTGTGAACACTATACAGAGTTTACTATTATCATTGTTATTATAATCTATAAAAAAACAACATACCTAATGACAGAACCTTCAAATAAGATTTCAGTTTATTATTTTCATGTTCCACTATATGCGCGGATGCATCCGACATATAAATATATGTATTCTTATTTCCCTCCAAAAAATCTAATAATTCCTCCTTGTATAAACCTTCTGTGTGGTCTGTATGACAGTGGCTTAGGAAATAAGCTCTTTTATTGATAATATTAAAGTTATCCACATATATTCCTGGTATTTCATCTATTTTTCCGCTGAAACTAGATCTATCGTTCGTAATATTTTTTGAGCACATTGTAGTAGAGAAATTAGGTATTCTTAAATATAATTATTTCATAGCAAAAAATAAATATAATACATACTATAAAGTGTATTTATAAACATCTGTTAAGTTTCTTTTTTTATTATACTGTTTATGACTTAGGAAAGGCAAGGGAATTGTACCCATACAGCCATATGCTAACTTTCTGTTAAGTGTTAGTGTCAAATGTGAAGTTTTTAAATAACTTCTATTTTTATTTAATAAATAAATACAAGATCTGAAATATGTTTAGTGTATCAAGATGAACATATTGTTTACTCCCTAAATTTTGTTAAAAATCTCTCAAAATTCAAGTTTTAAAGAGATATGCTCTAAAAAATTTGTGGTACTTGAATAGATTATATAAATTGATAATTTCGTATTATTATTATTAATCAATATTATTGTTGTTCTTATATTTTTTTAGCTTGCTTCTAACAGAGGTCAGAACATAAGACTACGGGGTAAGGACAAACAAAAAACGGTTGTAGAACACACTCCAATAAAAAGGACATCAATTGACTATAAAATCTAAACTTTGGTAATATTACAAACTACCATAATAGTGGTCGGGTTGTTTAGATTTTAATTTATATTCCGTATATTAATATTAATTTTACCATAGAATTTAGATAGTACCTACAATCTTATCACTCACCTGATCGGGATATGAGCTGGAGTTGTGATATGAATATATTATAACTGGCCACTGATAAAACGAACATTACTACTAAATAAAAAAAAGTAAAAACAAAAGGTACGCCGTTTTTTGTTATGACATGTTGTTCTCTGTTTTTTTACAATTAAATAATTAATTGTACCTACATATATATATATATATATATATATATGGAACAGTTTTGGAAATTAGTGCCCTAGTGTTTTCTGCTGTATAAAATATTTCGCGAGTGACGTATTATTATATTCCGTAATAGACTGTCTCCGTTTTCCCGCCATCCCGACGTTTTGCTTGGATTCTGTGTGCTCATTTTTCTTTAGATTCCGCAGTTCTCTGGATAGTATTACAGGTCAGTGGGTACCGTTAATTTATTTATTGGTATTTTAAAGGTACAATTATTATTTAAAAGAGCAACACGCAAGTTTCTTGCTCGTTCTTCTTATAATGAGACATCTTTCCAAATGAGCGGTAGATTTAAAAAAATGATAACTATGTATTCAAAATTGAGTTTATTTGAATAAATGATTTTCTATTTTATTTTATACTGTTGCCGCTTAGGCAGAGTCTATATATGTTTTAAAGAAGAATTAATCAGCTCGGGAGAATATAAGGAGTTTCGTAGCGTTGTCATATTTAACATGTTGAAGACCGCATCAAAAAATCTTATTACTCACATAGGGACGGGCATTTTTATTGTTAACTAGCTGTACCCGCGACTTCGCGTGGAATTTAATTTTATTTTTCTAAAATAAAAGTGGTCTCAGTTTCTCCTTATCACATATAGTACTTATTTATTTTATATTATACTAGCTGTCCCGGCAAACGTTATTTTGCCTAAAATAAATAAAAAATTAGGGGTGGACTAACATTTAGGGGGATATAAACTAGATGTTGGCGGATTCTCAGACCTACTCAATACGCTCACAAAATTTCATGAGAATCGGTCGAGCCGTTTCGGAGGAGTATGGGAACGAAAACTGTAACACGAGAATTTTATATATAAGATTATATTTTATTTTATATATGTTATATTCACATATATTAAAATTTATGTAAAAATGTTATTTTGGTGTATGTAACGTATTTATATTCATATGCATGTAATGAAAAACGGTTATTTCAATATTACAAACAGACACCAATTTAATTTATATATATAGATTACGTATATTAGTACAATAATTTGAGGTAGACATTATTGAACCCTAGATTTATTTCAATTAAAGTGCCCACTGCTGATCGCCCTATCCCACGGTCCACGTGTAAATTTACTTTCGTTGCGGAGTGTCCCACCGGTGGGCGTGCGGTCTTTAACTTGTTAAATAATGCTATTCTGTCGATATGATAACGGCAATAGAATTTTAGGTAATTAAAACCTAAGTAAGGAGGACCTAAAATAAGGAGGACTTTGACTAGTTTTTTTTTAGAAAAATTGTTGTGCGTCATTCCTAACAAAAACTTAATTACATTTTTGTAAGTCATCGTGTACGAACATTGTACGAGAATCGCGTATGTATCCAAGCGTTTACGGCTTCCAACTATTAATAATATTCCTTATCTACATACGTACCTTCATTATTATCATGTATGCGTTGGTCTGTCCTGTTAAAATCTCCAGGCAACCTAAGTGAGGATCCATACACAAAGTCTACTGGTGTTACGGAACTATCGCTTTTGCATACGTTACGTAAACCTTTTTTTTTTTTTTTTTAACGTGTGGAAAAATCTTCAAAAGACCGTCACCCCGCCGGAGGGATGGCGAGGTGGTGTGTGGGACTTGTACCCACTAAAAAACCACACGGTGTACCTACGAGCGCCTATGCCGGAGCCAGGGGATTCGCAGGTGCATTCTACCCCAGCTCCGACGGCGACGGCCCGCCCTGTAGATGTTGTAGGGCAGGCCCCATCTCGTTTTGTGGTTAGGGCGACCTATTTCATTATTATCACGCGCACACCTGTATTGGGTTGGGGGACTGCTGTCCCCCGGCCCCAGTAAAAGGGGGGCGGAGTTGGATCCTCCCACCTCTAGGCCTGGCTCTTCTGCGGCGGAGGGAAGCCGATCTGACTCCCGCTCCCTTTCCGCCGCCTCCTTCCGCGATCCAGACACAAACGATCTCTCGCTGACCATCCTGTTTCGGCAGCGAGAGATCGTCCCCCACTATTCGTGTGAGGACACGGCGCTCACTCTCAAACGCTGGACATATTTCCAGCGTGTGTTGCGCCGTGTCCTCCACCTCCGCATTCGTGGCAGCCGGTCGTCGGCTCCTTCCTCGCCACATGACACAGATACCGCCCAAAGCAGCCGTGCCCGGACAGTATCTGTGTCATGCGGTACGTCAGTGGCCATCTCCTATATACGTTACGTAAACCTACCATTACCGTGGATAACTCATCGACCCAGCTATGGCCGTTAGAACTAAGGCGTGCTGTAAGAGAAGTTTTAGCGACCTATGCCATCTCTCTACTATACCATTGCTCTGTGGATAAATAAGGGCCTTATAAAACTTAACAATTTCATAAGCTCTGTAACTAATGTACTTTCGAACTGTCGACCCAGGTCACTGGTAAGCTTAATTGGCAACCGAAACGAGCGATCCAGTGGTCATAAACGTTCTTAGGGACCGTTTCAACGCGGACCAAGTCGTGGGAACAACTAGTATATAATATATATACATTTTTTAATTGATATATAATTCACAGAAACATAGACTTACTGTCTCTATTATAAAGTAACTAACCTTCGTATATTTTCACATTTCATTTAACGTAAGTAAGTTAATGAAGTATACATTAAAATATCTAGGTGTTTAAAAAAAATGTCGTTGGCAAATAAATAAACATCGTAAGTACCAATTCCATGCCCCATTTAATAAGGAATTTAGTGTAGTGGTTTCCCCATTTGCCTTCCACACCGTGGTTCAGCGGCCAGTGGGATCTGCCCGCTGATACCTGGTCAAAGGCCCTTCCAGAACTATTTCTTCGGCCCCTTGCCAGTACTAGCGCCGCCACTGCCCGACACTAGGGAAAGACCTTTTTGATGGCGGTCTTTTGTCGCCATGTCACAACGTCGTCATTAGACTTCTGTGGGTTTTTATAGAAAGGTTCACCCCCATGAACCTCCCACCAAATACCAATTGATGACCATAAATAGGTAAGTAACAATCACGTTTGTAAACAGTTTCGTAATTTATACTCGTGTTGGTGGTATCATGTAAAAACTGCAATAACATATCATCAGTTTTCCCCGAATTCACTAAATCGATAATCGTGGTACAATGGATTGTTTCTATACGCGATAATGAATCGGCGACGACATTATTGTGTCCTGTTATGTGCCTAATATCATTAGTAGAAGTGTTTCGTTATTATTCCCTAATTGATCACTAGCAAAAGTTAACGGTTTTTGATCTGTATGTATAATTAGTTTGCGATCTTCATGCATATTCCTAAAATGTTTTACGGTCATGCAAATAGCAAGTAACTTACGGTCGTAAGTGCTATACTTTTGCTGCTCCTTCTTCTTCTTTCGTTTCAATGACAACTAAAGACATGTATTTAAATACATTTTCGTCAGAATGTTGCGACGACTTTTGCGCATTCTGTCGCATTTTTTAAGTCTTCCTTTGTGCAGGATGTTGGGCACATATATATACTTTTGCTGTGATGGCATTAATTTTTTTGAAAAGTATCCTAAAGGTTTCCAGCTATCATTTACCCTCTGTTGTAACACAACGCCTACGCATGTATTAGAGGCGTCCGTCATGAGCGATAATGGAACGTCTGGTAGGTAGTGGAGGCGATAACAAGGCAGCGGTTTTCATACTTTGCTTACACGTATCGAATGCTTGTTCCGCCTTATTAGTCTAGTTAATTATTAATTAATAATTCGGACTTACATATATTCTACAGCGTTTGGTACATGACTTCTTTAAAAAATAACCATACCTAAAAATCTTCTAAGTTGATCTACTGTTTAGGAAATTTAGTGATGGCATTGACCTTGTCTTCAAGAGGTCTGATACCTTCATTTGAAACCCTGTACCCTAAAAATTCTACTTCTTGTTTACCAAACTCGCATTTCGAAAGATTAATAGTAATTCCATACTTGTTAAAACATTGAAAAACTAATTGTAAATGCTTGCGATGTTGTATTTCATCTTAGCTTGCGATAATGACGTCTTTCAATGTAACAGAATAGAAAATCTAAATCTTTGAGAACCGTTGTATTCATTTATATTTGAAATGTTTGAGCGACATTTCTCAGACCAAAACTCATACGTGGAAACTCGAAAAAACCAAAAGGTGTTATGATGGCGGTTTTCCCGATATTCTCCTCGGCTACCGGTATTATGGTAGACTCTAGAAATATCTAAACGACTGTACCATTTCTTACCTGCCAAAAGATATGTGTAGTCCTGCAACCGGGGCAACGGATAACGGTCAGGTTTCGTGATATCATTAAGGCCTCTGTAGTCGCCAAAGGGTCTCAAGCTGCCATTTTTCTTGCCACAACGTGTAGTGGACTTGCGCACTCACACTTTGATGACCTGCAGATTCCCATTTCTTGTATAATCCTAAATTCATCTCATATCTTCGCGTATCTATCCGACGGCAAGTGTCTGGCACGCGTGCACACTGAAGTTCCGTAATATGTCGCTATATACGTGATTCTCGTCAATAGTCTTGTTATACTACCAATAATATTTAAATTTGTGACACTATTTATCTATCTTTTAGTACTTAAATCTCCCCCTAACTTATTTTATTTTTATGAAAGACACCATGCTGCAGTCTCTCGATAAAACCTCGGCAGGTAGTTTTTTTGTGCATGATAATGGAATGTTGCACTAGTGGAGGATGATACAATGTGCATGAAGTCAGGTCAGTTTCCAGGTGGAACCGCGTGGAGGTCAACCTGATGTGGTACATTGTTAGCAATAGGGTTACTAATCCACATCACTAACGATTCCCTTCCCCTATTAAATTAATATTATTATTATTAAGTACAAAAACATTTTTGCGCGATGATATTACAGAATGTTTAATAACTATAGACGGCCTTGGTGGTCTAGTGGTTTAGCACGCAGCCTTTTTTCTGGGGTCGCGGGTTCGATTCCTCGCACGGTACAAAGTGTGTTCATGGGTATGGTTGTCTATACCGGTTTTGATATTTTCTATGTGTATTGAGTATGTATCTACAAAAGATACATAAGTTGTCTAGTACCCGTAACACATGCTCTGTCTTACTTGGGTCTAGACGGCGTTGCTTGAATTGTCCTGAGATATTATTATTATTGTAGTTTTACACAATTTTACTTCATAATTTATTTGTTTGTGAGCAAATAGAATATTAGAATGTCAAAGTGATTCATTGATCATGTTATTTTGTTACTGCGCAGTATATAATTCTTATCAATATTGATTATTAACGATATGCCCACCTAATTTCTTCAAGGGCTATTTTATCAGTATTAAATGATAAAAAAAAACACATTACTCAGTTAATTATCTACGTAAAGTTTATAATATAAGATTATACAATAAAATATATATATATACAATAAAATTTAACTTTGAGGTATCTGTACGTCACGTTAATATTATAAACGCAAATGTTTGGATGTATAGAGGTATTTTCGTCATTCAAGTACAGGTCAATTCGCCAGGAGGGAGCACCCCAATAAAAGTGACTGACTGATAGCTGACAGAGCCCTAACAACGGGGCCTGTCCTACACCATATGCAGGGCGGACTAATTTTTATTTATTTAATTCAGGCTGCAGAGTCTATATTATAGATACCTTAGAGACTAACATACATAAGAAATAATAATAAAATATAAATTCAAATTTAAATTATCTCTATAGTCACGGTACTGACGACGGTAATCTGCCACGGTAGCGCTGATACACCACCCTCTTCGGCCAGTAGTCTTCCTTTTATGATGGTGAGCAGCATGTTGGTGGGGAGCCGGGCCACGAACGCTTGGAAGCACGCGTTGTGACTCGATTCCAGATGTGTCACCCCCAGTGTCGGGTTACTTTTGGTCCGGATATAGTCGACCATGTCCTGTTCCTTGGTGGCGTAGTGTAAGAGGAACAGGCACATTGCCGTGGTCGGTATACATTTATTTTAATTTTTTAAAATAAAAGTAGCCTAACTTACTCCTCATTACATCAGCTACCTGCCAAAAGTGTCCCATCAAAATCGGTCCAGCCATTTCAGAGATTAGCCGGAACAAACAGACAGACAGACAGACAAAAATTGTAAAAAATGTTATTTTGGTGTATGTACCGTATTTATATTCATATGCTTGTAAAAAAAAGGGTTATTACAATATTACAAACAGACACTCCAATTTTATTTATATGTATAGATGTAGGTATTGTAACTATTTCATTTATTATCTGCTGCTTCCGTATCCCATTGGGATGTCCATTCCTTATCCGCCCTATAAAATGTATTATTTCTATTATAGTAAGTATTATATTATTGTTACCTAAGCATTTTAGTATTGACACTTTTACTGCCCTTTGTTGTGTATAGAAACTTCTAAGTGAATGACATGTAATTAGGACTCAAGCCAGACAGCCACATTAGTAAGGATAATGCAATAAAGAATAAATAAATCCTATCCAATGCCAGGTGAATCAAGGTACGCGTACTTGTAGCGACGCGCCCAAGGTTTCAAATGATAATGTTAATGGTTCATAAATAATGATATCTAATCTGATTTGAGGATTTGATCGAATCGGCTGTTCACTAATCATTGATTAGTGAACAGCCCTCAGAACCACACGTCTAAGAAGTGCTTACAAAGTATATTGGTTTAGTTTAGAAGTTTATTTCACTATCCAATACAATGTCTAAACGACGTTCAGACGATTCGTTACTGGAACACTACAGAAAAAAACGCGAAAAATATGATAAAATTCTCGCAGATCTTACCATTAGTGCCGTTCAAGCGAACATGAAAAAATCAGTGGAAGGTTAGTGCCGTCTACATTGTTATGTACAACATCTAGTTCTATACCTGCATATTCTCAGTGTATATTCTCAATATATTTGCTTGGAGTTAACACGTGATGTTGACCTGTAGCATTTTTATTGTTGTCTGTACAAAGATGGTGTACACATGATTTGAGCCGCTGTCTAATAAATGCAAAGTTCACACTCTTAAGATGGACATATCTTATGATTTTTTTTGTTTTTTTTTAATGGATGATAACGGAATGGTGCTCTTGTCTGCGCTAACTGTATACGCTGTCTGAGCTCCAGAGGAGCATGACAAGATGACTCTAAGATCAGGACAGTTAGCCCATCGTGGTAAATTCGCCAGGAATTTAACATGATGGTTTCCAATGGGAACCGCGTGGAGGCTGACCTGACATGGTATATTGGTGGCAATGGGGTTATTATTTTACATTACTAACAATTCCTTCGCCCTACTTTTTGGTTCAATATTAGTGTTTCCTTCACATACAAATTTTTTTGGTGTCGGTCAGTTTATAACTTTTTCATATTCTCTTAAACTATTTAATTCTTCTCATTTCATAGGAGACTTTGCAGAGAATTTACCATTAGCCATGTCTCACTTTCCAACCAAAACGCAACTGACAAGGAACATTCCTCTGACCTCTGGTCCCTGATTTTTTTTTATTTTTGCTGTTTATATTATTTTTATTGACTTAAAGGACAATTTGTTGTCAGAAACAACATCGGTGCTAGAGCGGTTTCCGTCTAAAGGAAAAATCCAGAATATCGCTACGCAAAGCGTAGTCAACGCCGAACCTAGTAGCAGCACCGCCAGCATCGCTTCAGCCACGGACTACGTAGCCTCTACGACTGCCGAAGTTACAACGCTGGCGGTAACAAAGGGCTCTGCGGAGGCAGTAGGCTCTAAGGCTGATGATGCAAAGATAGATACGGATCTTTTGAAAGCTCTTGGAAGTCTGGATAAAAAGAATACAGATTGGGGCGAACCTATAGATGACCATATTGCTATTCGTCTCAATCCCATTTTGCAGAATGGTTTAAGTAAAGAAGATAAAGAAACTCTTCTGAAGAAATTTTCATTCCCTAAAAATCTAACTTTGGCTAAGCCCCCAACATTAAATACGGAGATAAGTATCAAGGTACGCGAACACCAAATCGTTAGGGATCAACGCATTTACGAGAAACAAGATCAACTAGGTGTAGCATTAAGTGGAATAACTAAGGCTATGTCACTTTTATTACACAAAGAACCAAACATATTTCATATTTTAAGTATTTTGACTGACGCTAGTAAATTGTTAGCGGACTCTCACTTTTTGGAAACCTACACTCGAAGATCTTTAATTTTGCAGTTAGTGGACAAAGAAATGGTAGGTATATTAAAAGATTATAAACGAGACGAATTATTGTTCAATACCAATATAAGTAACTTGAAAAATTCTCGTGGCATTTCTAAATTACAATTTGACCGTATTCCATTCCGCGGCCGTCCACTCGAATCCTCAACTCAACAGCAATATAAACCGTATCGTGGTGAAGAGTCGCCCCCGCTTCCGCTAGATCCAGCTCGGCGGCAGCCACGCGCGCCCTTACCACGGCGTACACCACCTACAACTTCCACTCCAACTCGACCTCCGGCGTCAGTGCTGGCACGCAAGCCGGGAACACTTCGTTAACTTTGCTACAATCACAAAATGGTACCGACATTGTATTTGATAATTGACAACACAACATATGAATTTTTATTTTTTAAGTGACATCCAAAGTGTTTGTACTGGATATTTTTAAAATTAAGATATACATATATTGTATATTTTTGATTGTTTAAAATAATAAAGAAATAATTATTACTTATGAGTGATTAATTTCAAAACATAGATTTGCCTATTTTCCTTTCCTAAGTTCCGCCTAAATTTACATCAAAATTGATTATGTACGTAAATGGAACTTTGGACATTGCCCGCGGTGATTATAATCTAGGTGATCCAGTTAGAGTACAGGTTAGTGTTAGGTTGTAAGAAGTTATAGATTATAATTTTGTATTTTAACATTCGACACAATATTTATTGCTAAGAATTATAAAAAATAAAATAAAATTGTATCATTATATTTGGCCCAAATGACATAACATCTTTTTAAATCATAGTCTACATCCTTTCTCAGACTAGACAATCTGTTTATCAAATTTAATTTGAATTCGTTCAGTAGTTTATACTACAAAGTGTAACAGACGGACAGACAAAGTTTCCTTCGCATTAATAATTTACTAATCCAAAGCAAACTTCCCTGACCTAAAAGAATAAAGTTTTGTATATAACCAAACACATCTTAGATTTAGATTTGACATATTCTTGTATGGAAACAAGTGAGTATGTGTCAATTGATGTTATCTTTATATAAAAATTCTTGTCTAGGTATATAAAATAAGTTTTACTTACTAGTTCAAGATATTCATTTATTTGGACAAATTAACGATTTTCACATTGCAAGACAATTATTTTCTTATATTGCGAAATGTAACACAATTAGTGAAAATAAAATCTGTGTTGATATATATTATAGTAAATAAATAAATATATATTATGTGTAGTTGATGTCAAGCAGTGCTACATATTTTCTTTTATTTATATTTTCATTGTAACTTATTCCAATGACAGTAAATAAAACAACAAATAATGTATATATTTTATTTCACACGTAGGCACTTACTCTACTTAATTTTCGCATTTTGAATATTTAACTTAAGAATTTACTTCTGTTATTACTTTGATACTTTCTAATGATTCTTGTAAAATGGTTCCTAATACGGGTTCCTTCCTTCGGGTGATTTTGTACGAACAAGACATTAAAGAAGTATAATCGTGCAGCATAATTTTCTTTCTGAAGAGGTAATGTGCTAGGATGTCAATAATTACATTAATTTAATTCCATCAGCACTAGATGCAGTGTTGGCCTGCTAGCACATTTCTCGGCGAAGAAAATTCTATTAACGTTTAGATTTCGAACTGTTGAAAAATTCCGTTATCTTTGGTTGTTTTGGATCTGAAATAAATTTCGGCAATTTTCTTTTAATCCTTATCCGTACAGGCTTGGCTTTATCCAAACGTCTATGCTTTGTAACTAGTTTATAATATGTAGGTATATTAGTATTTAATTGTTTTAGATTCAATGATTCTGGTTTCACAGAATCACTCTCTTCAGGTTTGATAGTTTTAGAATGACAAAAACTGGAATCCACCATCAACGTTTCTGTCTGTTCTCCTTGGAAATTAATATTTTGTTTGCATCTTTCAGCACGTTCCTGGTTTGATTGAATGAGTGTTCTATACATTTCTTCTTCAGATGTTGCTAATTCATTAACTTTAATGTTATTGGTTTTATTCCGATTAGTATAAAAGGCAGGTGAAGTTTCTGGTTCGTCATCACTTTCAATGTTTTCTATAAATTCTGGCGTCTTAATATGTAGGTTGCGGCGATATGTTTTCTTCTTATCTGTTGAAAATATAATTATTAAATTTTTATTTATAATTATTAAATTTATTAAACTATACAGTAAGAACATGTTGCAGGGAAGTTATCTCGTAATTCACCAAAATGCAACCTGCATACCCCAGGTTTAATTATAGTCAACAGTATACCTACCTAACGCTGACTGGTATAAAAATAATTCAAAACGTCGTATCACCATGATGTACATAGCATATAACAACGCATGTTCTCGCACACCGCCCGCCAAACAAAGATCATTCGCCTTACACCCCCTTTTTTTTAACATAGGGAAAATCCCTCATGGAGACCCGTCCGTCTCAGGGGTTGGACGCATGCGTACTGTAGACACCCACTCACCAAACCCACATGATATTCCTTCTCGCCGCTATAGGTCGCGGAATCGAGCTGGCAATCAACCGCGACCCCAGCAGCGGTTACCCGCAAGCGGGCCCTCCTCCACGTGTGGGAGGAACTCTTCCCAGTTTCCCCGCCTCCGCCCACCGTGGGGAAAACGCACCGGAATACGGGATGTGCCTACCCTCCATCTCCGCTCCTGTTACGTGGACGGCAGACTTCAACTCCTGAGACTGCCGCCCACACAGAGCCGCGCCCGCTCCGCACTTGTCTCTACAAGACTAGTCATAGCAGGAGCGGGCCACCAAAGCGACACTTAACGGCCGGAACGGCCCCATCTAGGTCCTTTCCTGATAAGTGTATTCGCGCGCAATCCCGGAGAGTTCTTTGAACAGAACTTTGACAAAAACAATAAATGGTAATAATCTATTAGATATCAAACGACACAGCCATATACAACCACTGGTTGACAAAAATTCTATAGGTCAACTCCACGTGTTAACTCTAAGAACATATGTGTTTTTTTCACACACCTTTCACAATGTCTTTAGTGACTGCAGGTCCTGCGGGCAATTCTTCAAACTCGTTCATGGCGATACTAATACAAATTCAAGCTCGTTGGTATTTATATATAGTTTTCAGTGCTTCGTCGCCGCTATCACTCGCTACGTCACTAGATTATTATTTTGATTAAAGGTACATGACATGTCATGACATGTACATGACATCATATGCGTTGCCCATGTATATGGTATATAAACGGCACTGCGGACTTCATATTGTTATAACAGGCATCGTAGTAAGGGCACACACAATCCAAGAAGTACAACATACGGAGAAATTTGGCTTATTATATCCTACAATACAATGTCTAAACGACACATTGATGATACGATAGAACAATTAACAAAAAACGCAAAGAATTTGACGATATTCTCAAGATTCTTACTGCCAGAAGAGACAACATGTATAAACGGGTGGAGGGTGAGTATTATTTGCATCATCATTTGTAACATATGTACAGTTTTGCATGGGCGCCGCTCCTCAAGCCACCCTCAGAACTGCATCTGACCTTCACTAGACTTCAGGTTGTAAACATAACCATCTTAGATATTTTGGTTAGGGAGGATTATTTTCAGATAACGCGGTAAAATTTTCAGTAACACCTATAAGGTTTATAAGAGATGGACTTTGAACACAGTCCAGTGCCGCTGTCTGTGTTGTGCGCTACGGAGCCATTTCAGTCTTAATCCTTTGGCATTCTAGAGGAAACTCGATGTGAATAGTATTATGCATAATGTAGACATCATGATTAGTCGTAGTAGTGTCACATGATGACGTAACGCCCTTGATGCTCTCCGTGTTTATAAGCGTTGTTATTCACCACAAGTCAAATTCTTTGCCCTACAATTTTATAACAAAATGTAATTCATTTATTCAAAACTTAAAAAAAATGATTATATATTTTAACAATGCTAACGATTTCGCCTATGAATGCAGTAGTTGGCTTTATATTTCCTATAATGGATGATAATGGAATTGTCCATCCATGTACGCGCTAACGGTATACATTAGCGGAGCACTGGTGAAAGATGATGGTATGAATTTAGGCCGTTAGTTAGTAGTTTGCCTGGGACTAACCACGAGGGTTTTTCCGGTAACCACGTGGTCAACCTAAAATGTTAAATTGTTAGAGGAGGGAAGAGATTATTAGTAATGGGGTAGAAATGGATTTACTACCTGATTACTAATAATCTCTTCTTCTCTCGTTGGCTTTGTTTTAGGTTTCTGCTTGGGTACCTCATTGGAGTCTATTTCTTTCGCCAAGCAGCTTATTTTCTAAGCTATGTTCAAATTGAAATTGATTTAATTACAATGGCAAGCACTCTGACATCTCTCTGATTTAAAATGACCACGTCTAGACACACGGACACCAGAATATTTTGTGTACCCCTGGTTTTTCTTATTAAATTAATAATAATAATATCTCAGGACAACGCACAAAGCGCCATCTAGTCCCAAGCTTAGCCGAGCTTGAGTTATGGCTATAGTAGCTATAACTGATACAATACTTGCATTTTTATTGTAAATACACATATAACGTACCTATATAATTTATCTATCTATATATATCTACATATATTATATATATACCTATATACAGAACTATGCCGCATTTTAAATCTGTAAATAGGAGTGACCTAATAAATTATAAACCTATATCTATACTCGCAGCGCTTAGTAAAATTAAAAAAAAATAATCCTTATGCAACTTGTCAATTATTTAAATTAAAATAATTTAATCCACAATAGTCAATTCAGTTTCTCTAAAGGTTATTCAATTACAGACGCAGGTGCAGAGTTGCTCAGAAACGTATTTGCTGTATGGGAAAATAAAGCGGATGCAATAGGTGTTTTTTGTGACCTTTCTAAGGCTTTTGATTGCGTTGATCATGACACATTGCTGAAAAAACTTGCTTTTTATGGCGTCAAAGACGTTTTAAATTTAATAAAATCTTATTTATCTGATAGAATACAGAAAGTAAAGGTTTGCAGCGCTACGTCTATAGGGTCACTTGTGCAAATTGGTGTACCTCAAGGATCTATTCTCGGTCCAATTTTATTCCTAGTTTACATTAATGATCTCCCGTATGATATGCAGGATAGATGTGGCATAGTATTATTTGCAGATGATACTTCATTGATTTTAAAGGCTAACAGAATGACTAATAATTATGACGATGTAAATAGTGCTTTGCGGCGTCTTTTCACTGGTTTACAACTATTTTTTTTTTATTGGGTTGTTTGGGCTATTGTCAGATGTGTAGCACCTGTAGCACTGCGACCTACATAGATCTATTGTGCTCGCCCTTTTCAGAGTTCGCTACCTAGACCCGTCAGGGACAAGAATTGAAGGATATTCTTAGGAGC